TAGTTTTATTAATTTGGTTGTTTGGGAACAAACAGAGGAAAAAATCTGCCTCTTATGAGAATCTGATTCATCCACACTTGCTAGGTATGCCTTTTATTTATTTCCATTATATAATTTTGGAATTCAAAATGTTCATATTCAAGTGTTCTACAAAAAATTAATGATTATACTTCTGTGTTGTACTTCTACCAAAATTCGGAGCAGAACTTTGAAGGTAAATTTAAGTTGTATTAAATGCCAATTCACGTGGAAAGTATTGGTTACTATTTTCTGATTTTAGGGAAGTCTTTAAGATTGGGTTTAATAACTGAGATTACGACTATTTACTAGTATTTTTTAATATCCTATATGATTATATCTATTTCATTGTGATGCACTGAAAGGTTTGCAATTTCTTGAGGAGTCATATAAGCATGCAACTGTTTTGCAGATTTTCCATTTCGCGTTTCATGATCTTCACAATTGATTGCATTGCTATGTATTAGGTTTGAGACTGTCTTCCATGAGTTGGCCATGCCATTGACCAGAACATGCTAACCAAACAAGATGAAGTCTTGTTTCTGCCGTTCCCAAGGGATAGAGAAGGATGCGCTGTTGAATTAGCTATCAGTTCATGGAAAAATTGGTGTTGCCAAAGGCTAATATTTATAACCATCAAATTATCTCAATTCCTATATGTTGGGTGGCCTACTTTTCTCCTCAGATTCTACATTTTATCATGGCCTTCAAGCAATTTGAAATTTATGTTAGCCATATATTATAATTATTCTTGTTTGGTGGAATAGACTGCCTTTTGGGGTTCTCACTGCATTGCCTTTGAATAAGGATTCAAAACATTGACAGTCTGAATAGCTGAATTACTGCATACTTATTAAATATTTATGCAAGCACCAACATTTTGTTTATGCTCGTCTTTCAAAAGAAATGAATCCATAACCTGGTGCTTTCTGCTTCTAAGACTAAGGGATAATTTTCTTGTAAAATAATTTTAGCATCTCTTCTTTTGCTTTTCTCGTTTCATATTTGCAAAACAGTTCATCCCTAAGGAGGTTTAATTAATGACATTATCAGTAACCACTAAATTTGTTATTGACAATCATGAGACAAAGGTTTGAATTAGGAGAAAGATATATCAATTGGTGCTATGCATGTATGCATATAATATATATCTTACATATTGGCAATTAAAGAAAAAATGAGGTTTATTAGGCTTTTTGAGATCATTGAGAGTGATGGTCTTGTGCTTAGTAATAACAAGGGTCAAAATTTTATGTCTAGTGCTTTTGACATAGTGTGCAGATTGAAAACAACAAATTGTACCAATCTAATATATCAAAATGAAAATTTAAACATTTTTTTTCCTAGTTTTCTATTGAATTCATGTTTTTGTTGCCTGCTGTTGGAAAATGACGCACAAATCCACTATTGTTAAATTTCATAATGTTTTTGATTTAGTAATAAGTTCATTTGCATAAATAGTTTAAGTTTTCATTATCACATCCACATAAATAGCTCATGAAGAACCTCTGTTATCGGGACATAAACTCTATGATGTGGCAGAGATAACTCTCTTTTGCTTATCATCATTTATCCCACACAATACATGTGCTGGAGTGTATACAATTTTTTCTGATTTCTTCTGAATTTATTTTCAATGAAAAAAAGTCTAGAGCATTATGTTTTATTTCACTTGTAAGAAGATGAACAAAAGTGATATTTTTTGTTACTTTTGGTCATGGAACGGCTTTTTTGAGATTTCTCAAAAATTTTCATATTCCCTCATTTCTTTATCATTTTCTTTAGAACCTCATGGTTTCACTCATTGATATTAATGCTACAAGTAATTTTTTTTTTTTCTTTAAAAAATTTTGTTTTCCCTTTTAGTCCTAAGTAGCTCTGCTTTGAATGTGGTGTGCATTACATTTTTCTAGAAATAAAGATATAGACATCTTGTTGATGGTGAGTTTGAGCCACCCTCAGTTCAGCAACTGCATGACTCGGACTCGGAGGGGGGGTGGTATTTTTTCCTTAGCAGTGCTGCTATTTCTTGCACTACCTAAGGTTGAAACTTTTTATTTTCTTAAAAACTATGTGGAACATTTTTTCCCCTTCTTTCTAAGTTAAAATGAGGGTGGTGATAAGATGGAGGGTTTTACAAAATGGAAATTTCAAACTTTGCCATATCAACCTTGCAGATGAGCTAGAGCTCAGACGAAGGCATTGCTTAAATGTAGCATAACATCAAGTGTTGAACACTAAGTGACGTCTAGGTTAAATAAGAGCTGGTTGTTAAACCCGTTTATTTTAAGAAATTTCAGCTCATACAGACGCATCTGCCCTACTGCTTACCCACATCTCATTTGGATGAGTTGATGACTAATTTATGGATGGAGAATTAATTATTAGATTAAAATGTTGAGAATTAATTAATCATCTCATTTCACATTTATTAGATTATGTCTTTAGATCATCACATTTTGAGATTTTCAATGATCCAATGACTTGAATGTTTTGGGACGGAGGATAGAAAAATTTGGTCATGAACGATCATTTATGTTTGTCTATTGAGCAACCATGGCATGCCTAATCAGAAAAATGTTGAAACTTCCTAGTATTAAAATGTTGAAACTTCCTTTTGGTTGCCTAATCAAACAAGTTACCACTACTAGAAATATGACTTTTTGCGTCTATTTTTTTGCGACGGATTGTTTAGCCGTCGCAAAAAAAAATCACTTTTTACATTAAAATGTCATTTTATTTTAATGCTCAATCGTATTCTTACCTAACTTAAAAAAAAAAAAAAAAACCCCAAATCTTATAAAACTTGCCCTATCCCCTTTTACTCTTATTTCCCAAACCCTTCTTGCTCTCTTCCGCTGAAGACCGATCTCCAAAGGTATGATCTCTCTCTCTCTCTCTCTCTCTCTCTCTCTCCCCTCTGTCTTTGGACTCTTCATCTAAATTTTATTGTTCATTTGAAGATTTTGATCAATAGTTGATGAAGATTTGAAGACTTCGATCGATTATTGATGAAGATTTTAAGATTTTGATCGATTTATAATCGGTAAGTCTAATTTCTATGAATGAATCCAACTCTCTCTCTCCCTCTCTCTCTTCATTTTATCTATTAGCTGTGTTTAATGATTTCAATATTTTGTGACGTGGAGGTTTTAGGGAGGTTTTAGTTATCTCCTCTTCATTTTTTTTGTTGAATTTCAATATTCTGTTGAATTTCATTCGTTCTTAAAAACAATAGAGGTGTTTGAACCTCTTGGAACAATGTCTCTCAACACTTACTGTTTCTACTGTGATTTCTGCTATTATAGCCATGTGTGTTGTGTTGATCTAGAATTGTTGATTCAATTGCCTATACACACAGGTATGGTACGTAGTTTCATGAATTAGGAATAGTGATGATTAAGGAAAGCTTGTAAAATCTAGGGCTATATGGAAGGGCAATTGTTTGAATTGGCTTGGTTTTGAAAATGTTGAGCATGCCTTTTGTGAAATGGACACGGGTATGCCTTTTGTGATTTTTTCCCTCCTTAGATGAAATGGACACGGTTCTAACACACGTACACAAAAAATGTTTGTGTTTCCTTTTGCCTATTTGGTGTGACCATATGGATATCCAATTCATGTTGTGTTTCTTTCTTCTACTGTGAAAATCACCATATGTTCAGCTGATGTGTTCTTCTAAAACACGTGGGCTTTTGATTTGTAACTGTCACTACTTATTTGTATATTTAACATTCCTAGATTACATGATCCCCACTCTTTCACTTCATTGTGTCAGGGGGTATCACAAAATCTCAATGATGCAGAAAGTGAGTAACATTTAGAGACATGATAGAAAATATGCCACTTGTTAGCTCTGCATTTTTTGTTTTACCGTTTTTTTCTTTTCTCTCATGCGTCATTTTTTAAATGGGTCAGTGGTCATGCCCTGGTTGGCATGACTATTTCTCTTTGTTAAGGACAATTTGTCATAAGATGTCCTCTTGCTGGATTCTATCCTTATTGTGCGAGCATGCTCTGACTCAGGCAGTGAGTAGGACATTAAATACAGTTATTATTGATTGGGGTTAGAATTAATTTGAAGCCCTGATTCCAAAATGCGTGGTTATGGAATTTGAACCCGCAATGCTATTGTCAAGAACTTTTGATTAGTAAAATAAAGCGTGGCCAACATAACACTTCCCAAACATGGCAGGTTGTTAACAACTTGCTGATTTGATAGATCTCTCTTTCTGTTATATTGTTACTGCCTGTGGTGGGATTCCTGTCAATACTGTTCTAGTTTTTGTTCACAGAATATTCTGTATGCAGGATTGTTTAAGTTTAAGGGTAGGATCTTTCTATGTTATACCTTGCCGTTTCTTATATTCATTTTTGTGAATCATGTGTAGAATGAATACAAACGAGGGATTAGTGGTTGGAACTTCAATCTTGAAGAGGTGAAGGCTCAAGCTTCCTTGGTAGAGTAACTAGCTATTTCTTCTGTGCAGCTTTTCCTTTCTGAATCCATTGAGCTATTGTAAATATAGGTTTACTAATCAACATTTATTTTGCTAGATCCAGGATAAGGACATTATATCTGAAAAAGATCTGGGTGGAAGCTCAGTTAGTTCTTCTGGGCTTGACCATGAAAAGGAATTGTAGCATCAGTTGTCTTCAGTGAGCTACTGTTCACAAGTTTCAGATATAGTATGTTAATACTCTTTGCATGGTTTTCTTTAGTGAAACGTGAGTCTTTCTGCAGTTCCTAACGATATGGTACTTCACAGGAAGATAATGATCTGATGCAGAATCAACCATCTTCTCTATCAACCGACGCAACTCTGACTAATGCGTTGTATGTCTTCTTGTTGTAGATCTTTCAATCATATCTTTTCCTCTCATATTGTCCTGGTGTTATATGTTTTGAGATCTATTTACACATAATTTGCTTATTAGGAGTTCTATGATATGAAAGAGTGGTGCTGGTGCTAAGGCAAATTTTAATGTTCATTTAATATATTTGTTTCTTATGACCTTTGCATGGGCAAGGTCGTCAGTCTGTATAAACGAAACTACAATTTTGTTTTTATTTTCCAGAACTAAATATGAGAAATCCGATGATGATGCAAGCATTGCTGGTTCAAACCATGAACACCAAGTTTCACAAAATTCTGCCTCCTGTTTTGAGGATAATGTTGAAAATAATTTGTCTGGAAAACCTGGCTCAGATGTCAGTGGAAGAAACGTTGACGGCACGGCTGTGCAAGGTCATCAGAGGAGGGGAAGTTCATCAGGCAATATCATTTTTCCAGATGGTTGTGTTCTCCCAAGCAAAGGAGAGGGGTATGATAATGATATTTATAACTAACTTCTATAAGCTTTTGGATCTATTCTTGAAGTGTTATGTTTTATACAGTGGTGAAGTGTTCTGTTTTAGATAGTGGAGGCTATAGTTTGTTCTGATATCATTTGGGAGCAGCACTATATTAGCAGTATACACTAGTCAAATTTGGGAATTTACAATTTTTGTGTGTCTTACCTTTATGCATACCTATTAGTTCTGTGGCTAAAGTCACTAGCAAATTCATGTGCTTCTGATGATTTAGTGCACAAGTTTCAACCTTCATCCTGAAAGCTTATTGTTGAGCATCGAATTATGGAGCTTTGTGTATCGCCCATGATAGTGGAATGGCTCAGTTTATTTTCCATAGAATTTGCAGTCCTTAAAATTGTGTAACAATGAATTATAAATGCATACATAGAAACTGTGACATAAAAAGGAGAAAGAAAAGAAAGTTCAATGATGTTTTGCACGAAAACCTATAAAGAGGTATAGTCATTTGAAGCGCTAAGATAATAAAGTGGACTCCGTTTTGTTTTGCCCAATGGATTAATTTTGGAGTCTAGAAGTAGGCCAGTGACCTAGGAGTACTTGCGCTGACAAAATATATAGTGTGTGGGTGAAGACTGTAGTACAGTGTCAGTAGGGTTCATCTCAGCCCATTTTTGCTTACATTTGTGATTGGTTGAGAATCAATATATCGTTATGGAAAAAGTTCAACATTGAGTCTTTCTTCTATTAGTACTATGGATCAAATTCCATTCTTGAGCATTTTATTGCATATCTATACACAATTATATAGCTCTCTGGTATATTAAATACCTATTTCAGACACAATTATATAGTTCTCTGGTATATTAATTCAAATACCTATTTCACACTTCTACTGGGCACATAATTGTTATTGTTATTGTTACTGAATTGGACTCTCTGTTTCTCTATCTCTCTTCATTTTTGCATTTTAAAAAACTATAATCAAGAAACTTCACTTCTTATCATGTGTCATTATCATCATGATGCAATCCATTGTGAGTTTCTAGTGAAATTTCTGCAATTTTCAGTGATAAATCGCAAAATCAGCTACAAAACATGTCGAGTTGCAGTGGAGCTCCTGTTCCACAGGCATTGGACGATGCACCTCCTGAAATTCTGTCTAGAGCTTCTAGAACTTCAGGCAAGTAAACATAATTTTTCTCAATTCTTAGTTCCTAGAGAACTTACTTTCATGTGCAAAACTACGTTGACTTCATTTGGTTAATTATATTGGCTTCTATATGGTGTCAAACACATTTTTTGCATTTTCATCTAATTCAGATTTTATTGTGGACAGTAAATAGTGAAGAGCTTGATGACAAGGTAAAGCCACTTGTTCAACAAAAGGGACGTTTCAAAGTTACCTCTGAGAATGTCGACTTAGAAAAGGTACATTTTGCCTTTTGTACCCCATGGCCCTGTATACTACTGTTCAGAAGGATAACATTCACCATTTCTTGTCAGGTGGGACCAAATCCTTTGATGCAAAAGAGTCACAGCATGCAGGTTTGTACTTTTCAAGTCAACTCAGTCACTAAGAGTATTAGTTAAAATAAATGGTAAATTACATTGACACCCCTGCCATAATAGAAAATGTCACTTGGCATCAGCTATTATGTGAAATATCATTGTCCTCCCTTCTCTGAGTTATTAGTCAAATAGGGTTAACTGTATTTATGAATTTACCCTCTTACCCTTGCTCTTTTTGAAAACTATTAAATAAAATGATGATAATATTATAATTCTTATAAAATTAGTCAGATTAATTTAACTCTCTCACTCTCTTATCTTCTTCATTTTCTGTCCTTTGTTT